CGCCCTCTTCAGGTCAGTGTCCGTCACAAACTCATCAGACAATTGAGACACAATCTCGGTTCTCTCTGTGACCGCGCTGTGCTCTGTGTTCTTCGTCAGGTTTTAAGGTCAGACTGACCGGCTCAGGCTCCAGTCGCTGCTCCGGACGAGTTGAGGTCTATTACTCCGGCAGCTGGGGGACGGTGTGTGACGACGGATGGAATCTGAACGCCGCTCAGGTGGTCTGCAGACAGATGGGCTGTGCTTCGGCTCTGAGCGCCCCGGGTTCTGCAGCGTTTGGTCAGGGAAGCGACCCCATCCTGCTAGATAACGTGGTGTGTTCAGGGACCGAGCAAACTCTCAGAAACTGTCAGCACAGAACCATTATGGAACACGACTGTTCCCACAGTGAGGACGCCAGTGTCATCTGCTCAGGTGAGGCACTTTCTACGTGTCACTTCTAAGTTTGTGATAGTTGAGCTCTCTGAACACCAATATCCGGTTTTGATGCGTCTTCATCAGGTTTCAACGTCAGGCTGAGCGGCTCAGGCTCGACTCGTTGCTCCGGCAGAGTTGAAATCTTTTACTCCGGCAGTTGGGGAACGGTGTGTGACGACGGATGGGACATGAAAGATGCCACGATCGTCTGCAGGCAGTTGGACTGTGGCACTGCTCTGAGGGCCCTGAGTTCTGCCGCGTTTGGTGAGGGAAGGGACCCCATCCTGCTCGATGACGTGGAATGCACAGAAAGTGAAGACGTTCTGTCCCAGTGTCCACACAAAACAATAACAGAACACAACTGTAACCACGGCGAAGATGCCAGTGTCATTTGTTCAGGTATAATTATTTTCCATTTATTACATTTCAAAATAAAAGCCCCTGGTTCTGTTGGACTATCCCAGACTTTCTCTCAGGATATATTAGAAATTAGGCAGAAAACCACAAAAGCCCAGATCGCATTGTGAACCTTAAGCTTTCGTATCCAAAAAAAATTATTTTAAGCAAAGAAATATACCTTAAATGGCCGGCTGGCCTGTAGGATTTATGTTCTGCTTCTAGATATTTCTGCGGTGTCATGATATTTGTCATCACTTCTGCAAACACGCTTAAAAATAGAAGATTATGAATCTCCTGTTCAGTGACATTTGACAAGAGGCTCCTCCAGGGGGCGATCTGCTCCAGTCATTGTGTTGTTGACGCTGTTTTGCAGAGAGCGTCACAAAGCTTACCTTCTCCATTAACCCTGCCAACGAGGTTGACCTGGGCATGGGGGTCAGTATCACCTGCTCCATGTCAACTCTTCATCTGAGCGGAACCTTCGTCCTGCAGCACATCTCAGGATCCAGTGGGAATCGAACCCTAGCCACAGCTTCCAGTTCTGTAACCTTCAACATCAGTGAGGTCGGCTTACAGGACGAGGGAACGTACCAGTGTCTGTTTCAGACCAGTGTTGGAGATCGAGACTTCAGGTCACCACCAAGTGACCCTTTCTCTATTGTTGGTGAGCGCCCCCTTGTGTCCTGAACCTGACCTGTTATACACTTGTTGGGTGGTTGTACTGTACGTAAACGCTGCGTAGGGATTCACGTAGGGAATAGCATGTAATAGCATGACACATGTACTGTACGTAAACGCTGCGTAGGGACTCACGTAGGGTGTAATAGCATGACACGACAAACATTTTTAGGTGTGTACTGCCATCTACTGTACTAGAGTGTGTATTGTCATGGTATGACCAGTGACTCCTTACACCTTGATGAGCGGCTCTTTTTTTTTATTATTTCAACCGATGCAAATTGTGACACATTTGTATACATTTTTGACCGATTCATGATGCGTCGTTACATCCTGAGTTGCTACAAATGGTCAGAAGTACTTTATACAAGACCTTTGTTCTTTCTCTCTTCTGACACAGTCAGAGTACCACAGCCCCAGGTCTCAATAACCACTGCTGATTGGGTGATACTGCAGCCTAAGGAGGCAGAGGTAGTGCTGGGTAAACGCTTCACCGTCACCTGCTCAGTGCACCGCTCCTTCGGCACAGGTTTTTTCTCTCTCACTTCCCCCGCTGGCACTTACAGCCGGCCTGAAGTCAACCAGTCTGCCGTCTTTGAGTTCCCCCCCGCCCAGACTGAACACCAGGGCAAATACAGCTGTGTGCATGAAATCATCCAGTCCTCGAAGAACGCCACCTCCATGAAGACGTCTTTTATTATCCAAGTGAGAGGTGGGTGCCCTTCATCCAAACCTAGGTTTTTGTCAGCTGGACTCACTGGCGGCCGCCTTCACCTGGTCTTGTTCTGAGTTTTGTTGTAACTGTTGCTGTCTCCTCTCCAGCGCCTTGGTGGACAATGGTTTTTATAGTGGTGTTGGTGAACGTGTGGCCCCTCCTGCTGGTCTTGTGGATTACCTGTCTGTTGCATAGAAGAAGACATCGATGGACTCAGCCAAGCCGACGTAGGCCCCGATGATCATTCACACACAACACCAACTCTCTGAAATATGAGAATACATTTTAATAAAAATCACTAGACGGCTGTATATGAAAGTGAAAGTCAATAGATGGCAGCATTGCAGATCATTTAATTAATCTATTTTAACGATCAGGGGACTGTATGCAGAATGTTGGAGACTCTGCAGTTCATCCAAGCTTTAAGGTTCATTTTAGCCGTGAGCTGCCTCTTGGTGCAGAGCTGCGGTCGCTTTCGCATGATTCTAGTGTTATCTTTTCTTACAGGTGTTCCAGTCGCTGCCACATATCAGCGTGGAAAGTCTGAAGCGGAGGAGCCACACTACATAAACATGGACCCAAAACTGATGAAGCAGAATGAGGGAAGAGTGGGTGAAGCTTGTAGCACAGAAGCAAAGAGTATTGACTGTTGTGATGAGGAGGTGGAGGAGGGTGAGGCCTGTCAGGGAGTGTCCAACAGAGAAGACCATGGGTGTGCACTGAGCTCTCACGTCTATGTTCTGGACACAGAGAAGAGACAGGTGTGTAGCAGACCTGTGGGGAAGGTCAGCAGTGACACAGAAGATGACTATGAGAACGTCAGCAAGCCCTCACGCAACGTCTCTAAGAAAATGTATACAGACAAAGACTGTATCTATGAAAACTATTAACCCACGCTGAGTTCCTTTAACTTTAATGTTTTTTTTTTGTTCACTAATGTGGCCTTTATTCAAGCTTTGCTCAGTATGATGACTTATATGTATAATACTGACATATAGTTGTGTTTTTATTTTTTTAAGCTTCCACCTGGTTGCTTTATAGCTGACCTGTC